GCATGGGCTCCTCTCCACTGGCTGCAGTTTCCTTCAGGAAATATCTACTTGCTCCACTGTGGGGTCCTCCACAGTGGATATCTGCTCCAGCACAGTCTTCTCCATGGGCTGCAGGGGAATCTCTGCTCCGGCACCAGGAAAAACACCTCCCCTCCTTCGTCTCTGACCTTGGTGTCTGCAGAGCTGTTTCTCCCAGTTTCGGGGGGTTTTTTTCCTCACTCCTCGTACACTGCCTGTGCAGCATTTTACACTTTCTTAAATACATTTTCCCCAACTTGTGACCATCGTGGCTGAGGGGCTCAGCTGTGCCCTGCAGTGGGTCTATCGGGGCTGGCTGCAACCTGCTGTGTCTGGCACAGGCAGCCCCTTCCTCTGCTCACAGAGGCCCCTGCCGCCCTGCCATCGCCTGGGCACTGCACCCATGCAAGCAGACGTCTGCCTTTTATAAAATCTCTGTTATCTTTGAAGTACACTCTCTGCTCTGAATATTTAAAGCTAGTCATTACACTGAGGGTAAAACTTGATTGCCTAAGGGCTGACAAGTCTGATAAATCCATGTTAGGCACTTAAAACAGGTATTTAGCTCACAAGCGATTTAACAAGAGAGTGAGTGAGAGAGAGAGGGAGAGAGAGAGAGACAGTCCTCTGAGCCTGGACCCAGTTGCCCAACTTTAGGCAACCAAGCTGGAGAATTGGATCCTCAAAGTATCCTTGTAATTTTTAATTTTCCAGAACTCAGTGACTTATCTTAAAGCACAACATGTCAAAGTATGAAAAACTGCCTCAGGTTGAAGAGTTTTCCAGTGTCAAACAGCAAAATGAAACTTATCTGAAACATTCTTGAAAAATTGTCATCTTTACCAATGACTTAAGCAGAATTTTAACCTGCTTTCTCATTATTTTTCTCCTTGCTATCAATTGTACTAACCTGAAAGAGACAAATAATAACTCCACACTCAAGAATATTGCTTTTCAGCGCATAAATCATTGGGACTGAAACTAGAGCTAAATGAGAAAGACGTATTATCCTACTAAAAACATAACAAATTATACACTAGTGACACCTCTCCCTACTCCAAATGCAAATTGTTCATGTACTCTTTTATCCTCTTCCTTTTGCATTCAACAGCAACTGATGTTTTGTGTCAAATTATTTCATGTGCACCATCTGGTATAAAAGACCTGTTTTATCAAGACAGTTGTTTGACAACAAATACGAGTTCATATGAAACACGAGTAACATGAAAACTTCAGATCCACATAAGCATTTCTTAATTTTGAAAATCAGATTCTACTTATCTCTTTATAACTATAACATTAAAGACTTAGAACTAGAGGTACAAAGGCTGCAGTATCTAAATTTTAGGACTTCTACCATTCAGTGGATCTCCTGCAGAAGGTACATCAAAAATCAGGTACCCAGAAATAAGGCACTGAGAAGGAAGCTACGTACACTAGCCAATACGAAACAGCTGAAGCTAAAACAGGAGACTGAAAATAACTGGGCATCTAACTCCAGGCCAAAAGAGGTGACACCCAGTTCACAGTCACAATGCCCCCCTTCTCAAGTCTATTCACCCCTTTGCAGCAAATTGCATTGTGCTTAGGGGCTGCACCTCAAAAATGAGAAACTTTTCAAGACTCCTTCAAATTAAGCAAGCCAAAAACAGTTTTCCCCCTTTCTCTGGGGCCTCCTACCAATAGATTATGGGACACACTCACACATATTCCCTCATGGGTTTGCAGTGCTCTGAGAACACACACCAGAGCAGCTCCAGGAACGCCTGTTTTCAGCACCCTCTACAATCTGGACACAGGCAAAGCCTCTGAGCAGCTTCACGGTCTAGGTTTCAGACAATTTTGCACATGCTCAGTAGCAAAAACACAGAGGCACACATTTAAATAATTACAAATTAGATCAAATTTAGGAAGTTGCTGCTATCAGCTAAGCCAACAAAATAAATTCAAATTACTATAGTCTCCCTCTCAAGTTCACATTTGGGCTATTCTAGCAGTTCCCCTTTTGGGCAGAATATGTTAACTCACCCTAACTTAATTCAAAATTGTTAACCAAACAAATATTAATACTTCTGATATGCAGTAAACATAGTTGTTTATCAAGTAATGATGGTAGATCAAGCCATTTATACCATCACTTAATATTCTTAAAGCCTATTTATTTAGATTAAAAGGACTACAGACAGAAAACATGGCAGAATTCAAAACACAGCTTTTCAAGGTCAAATATGGACCTCTGTCACAAAGTATAAGGTGACTTTACATATAATTTTATAATGGATCTTACGTGTTTGTGTAGTTGGTAATATACTGTTGCTCTTGAGGCTTTCAACAACATCTTACTTATTGCTACAGAACCAGTGATAAGCTGCATAGGATCACCTACATCATTTTCATTAAGACACGTTCGAAATCCTCACACAGCCTCTCAGGTTCAACCCTCGTAAGTCTTTGGGATTTATTTTGGGGTTTGACCTCCACCTACATGATCCTTGTTACATCACTTTGTAACAGTTGTAGTTCAGCTGTACCTTATGTATGTTGTGTATGTTAGGTGTGACAGTCTGCAGTTCCAACGTAGCAAACAGTACAGGCAACAACTGGACTTCAAAGACCGGACACTGGACCTTTGAGCAACTATGTGATTTGAAGACAAGGTGCAACTTTTTTCTTCAGTGATTTGGAGGTTTGTAAGTTAACCTGCAGATTTACCTCTGGCACACTCATGGAAATCAGCTTTGCATAAAAGCTGATGGATCAAGCCCAAGGGGTTGAAAAAATAATGAGCAGGCTGCACCATCTTGCCCTCATAAATCATTATGCATAACAGTTTAAAACAACAAGTCTTAAATCCTGTGATCTCTTTTAAAAGTACACTTTTAAAATTTTATTGCTGTCTGCTACATCATGTTGCATTTTCCATAGTCTGTGGGCGCTGATATCTCCTGATAATGCACATAATTTATATGCATAGCCTAGTAACCTCAGTACTAAAGATCTGTCAAACAAATACGCCACCTCTCAGAGGTACTTCAGGATGTGCATATACTACGTGTAACACTGCCTATTCCTATATGTACAATTTATAGGTTTAGAACGAAATGCATATAATTATCCTTGATCCACTTGATGGTTGAGTCCCTGCCACCTGGTAGTAGCAAAATAATATTTTAAATAATTTTAATTATTTTGACTGAGTTTCCCTTCTATATCTATGATTTATTAGCAATGCAGTTCAATTTTCTAAGATTTACTAAATTTTTTTGCAGACCATTTTCTATGAATGTATTATTTTTTTAGACTGGAAACTGTTCAGGGGAAACTAGCTGTGTATATTGAACGTAACATTTTAAATTAAAACACAGTAAATTACAAATAACAGTTGACTGGACACTCATTTGTTTCTGTTGCTAGTATGGGTTAACATGATGCAAATATCCATGTTTCTATACTGAAAATAAGCTCTGTGGAAGGGTTCTGTAACCACTGTCTAAAATTTACCAGTTCTGCCAACATCTCTGTCAGTGCATTCACTAGCCAAGGTAACTCTTAAAAGTGAACATAACAAGGCCATGAACACAGCTAAAACACAGCAGGTTTACATTTATAAATGAAAATCTATAAAACATGCATACATGTGAATGCTACCCATTCAGCTGCCCACTTCATGTAAACTATCACAGCCACCCCATTTGGCTAGAGAAAGAAAACATGAGAGGTAATTCATGTCACGTTTGACAAGAAGTAACAAGGCATTGGACAGAAGAGGATTTAAAAGATACTAATGAAAAGAGATGGCAACATCAGAGAAAGCTGCAGG